GGCTGGAAGAGAATGGATGCATTTGAATTACAGTGCTGGCAAAAAAAACTATTGAAGGTACCACGGACTGCCAAAAGAACCATCAAATCTGTCTTGGAAGAAGTAAAGCCAGAATGCTCCTTAGAGGCAAGGATGGTGAGACTGTGTCTCGTGTACTTTGGACATGTTGTCAGGAGAGTGCAGTCTCTGGGGAAGGACACCGTGCTTGGGACACAGGGGGAAGATCCCCAACACAGTGACACAGGGACTACAGCAATGGGGACACACACAAGTACAATTTCGAGAATGGTGCGGCACCGGGCAGTATTTTGTCTCCTGCTGTATGTTGGCTCGCCGTGAGCAAAATCGATTTGAGGGCACTTAACAGCAACAGTTTTTAGAAGCCAGATGGTGAGAAAAGGGCGCCGGGCTTGTTAACGTGGAGGACCATGAGAAAGAGGAAGACCCTCAGCGAGATGGAAGGAAGCAGTGGCTACAACCGGGGACTCCAACATACCAATGACGGTGAGCAGAGGACGGCCGAGGCCAGACAGTGGGTCCTTCCGTTGTAAGTCTGAGCTCATTCAGCGGCATCGAACAACAACAGTCCTATGGTTTAAAAACCTTTGAAGCCACTCTGACTCTCCTGCCACCCAGAGTCCTAACACCATTCAGCCAAAGTCCCCAGGCTCCATTCCCTAGCACCTCCTGCCTTGGCCTCACCAGGCTCCCGGCAGTTCTCCTGGCAATGCCCCGCCTTTCCAGGTAGCACCCCTCTCACCAGAAGGCTGGTGGTAGCCCCTGCAAGGTATGGGGGCTGTTGTCTATAAGCCATCTTGAGCTCACATCACAATGGAGAAGCAGATGATCCAACAACGGTGTGGCTGGGCGCTGACCCAGCCAGAGAAGTGCCTGGGCGCCTGTCCATGGGCTCTACCCAAGCTGCCTCACCTGAGGGGAGCCGCGGTCTCCACGTCTTTCTGACCCAGAAAGAGAAAGGAAGCATGCCCTGTGCCTCCCTGCTCCGGGGAGGTCTGGCCCACATAAAAAGAAGTCCCATACCTGAGGTGGGAGAAACGTGTCGCCATTCACACTGTCAGCTGTCAGAGCTGGCAATCCGGTGAATTATTACAGGAGAAGTGCGGGATGTGGAGATGGCATCAGTTCTGTGAAGCAAACAAACTGAATTGCTCCTGGCAAGAGAGGTCTGATCGCCGTGGAGGAGGGGGGTGGAGAGAAAGAAAGAGAGACAATACAGCCATGCAGATCAACCGAAGAGGCTAAGTGAATGCCAATGGCCTGACACCAGCCCTCGAAAGGACAAAGGAATGAAAATGCAGCGCAGGGTGGATTCGGGCAGTCTGGGGCTCAGTGTAGGTCTGGGTCCCATGCCACCCACTGCCGAGCAGTCCATTCTGACCGGTGGAGACCCTGTATGTCAGAGTGGAACAGCGCTCCAGGGGTTCTGAGGCTGGAAATCTGTGGGGCTAGACAGCCACCTTTGTCTCCCCGAGCAATGGCTGGTGGGCTCAGCACTTAGCCCACCGCACCACCCATTCCTTGATCACTCGAACGTCCAAGCTCAAAAGGACAAATTCCACAGCTAAGACGTGTGCTAGGCAAGATCTCGGAAAGGCAGGGAATCTACTGGTACACAAATGACTATTGCACTATCGCTGTACTTGTCCAAATATTTGAAATGCTTGTTACTAAAGAAAAAAATTAAGTGACACCTGTTCTGATGATATTTGGGAACTTTGGTGCTGTGTGCTGGAGTCCCTGGGTGGTAAAAATGGCTAACACAAGGCTGATGGTTCAAGTCCACCCAGGGGTGCCGCAGAAAGAAAGTCTGGGGATCGACCTCTGAGCAATCGGCCATCAAAGACCCTATGGAACACAGTTTTCTAGTCTACACTGCCAGTAGTCGGTTTCTCCTGGTTTGCTATGCTTTGGGAGTCCTGCCAGATCTGGACAAAGGCAGGTACTCCTTTTGAAGAAGCCTGCGTGGCTCCTTCCACATTTGGTCTGGGAAGGCGCACTGTGCTGGGGGCCCAGTGGCCTGACCCCACCTTGCCCTTGGGCTGGGAAGGAAGTACGGGTCACTTCCCCACGCCACACCACCACGGAGTAGTGACTAAGGGGCCTGAGTCACTTCTCAGGCTGAGCAGGGCTGAGATCCAACAGAGGCCAAGGGCTGGGAATTGATGACAGACATTCTCCAAGTGATATCCCTGCTAATGCCCGCCGCCAGCATCCCCACCACCAGGTTGGCTCAAGAGGTCTGTGTCTGCTACACTCCAGGGTAGTTCGTGCACAGGACTTTCTCTTAGCTTCACACAGCACGGCCAAGGTCAGGTATTAGTATTTAATACCATGTGACTAACATCCTCAAAGGGTTAGCATGTGGCTGGATGAATGCCTGAAGGTTCAAGTTCATTCAGAGGAACTGCGAAAGGAAGGGCTGGTAATCTGCTTGTGGGAGGTTCTTGCTGACTCACACAAGGCCACCAAGGTTAAGTCGATGTGGCCCCAAGCTGGCGTTCACATTCATGTCCTGGGAGCACAGATAACGGAGGCATCTCCTTCTGATTGCCAGAAGACCTGCCGCTGAATCCCCATCTCTCACCCCATGATATGCCCCTCCCTCCGTTACTCACCCATGCACGGGAAGGAAACCGTGCCCACCTTTAACCCTCGTAACTTGGCCTGCGTTGTGGATTAACGTAGCTCATGGTCTGTGCTACCAGGAATATGCAGCAAAACGTTTTCAACCTAAAAAGAATCTTACTTCCTCATCCACTCTGTAAATCATGCTGCCACGTGCCAGGTCCTGTGTCTAGCACTGGGGCGGGGGCGGGGGAGAGGAAGGAGGCTGCCCCAGCCCTCAAAGAGCTGCCCATTAGACCTGCAGTGCACCCCGGTCCCCTCCTGCCTTTCTCCACTTTCTCTGGCAGGAAATGTTCATACTATGCACCAATCTCACCGGCAACATCACATCTGTATAGCCCAGTCCTTTCAAGCGAAGAGGCTGGTTCTTGGAGAAATTGTGGCATTAAAAAAAAAAAAAATTCCTCACGAGGATCACTCTTTGCTGGTGGCCAAAGAGTCCTTTGGTCTCAGAAGTTCATAGTTTCCCTTCCCTAAACTGACACTTGGGTCGCACAACCTAAGGCAAGGCTGGGATGCTGCGTTAGTATCCAAGTCAGAGGTTTCACCCTGCCGCAGGGGGAGGAAAGCAGGCCATGCCCCCGACCTTTCAGGAGAACCCAACTAGCACAGGGGGTAGGGGCTGTGTGCTTGATCTCCTGAAGGCAACATAAAGGACTGAAAGAGACACTGAGGCATCTGTGATGTGGCTTCCAAGCGACAACTATCAGCAACAGCAGTCTGCTGCTTTGGGAGCCCCTCCAACAACGGTTGACAAGAGCCCCTGTCGCCGGCTCGGAGGGAAGCTGACAGACAGCTGTTCTTTCTGTAGTTCATCCCAAAGGAGCTAAGCGGGCTCTCCAAAAGCAGCTAGGTATGGCAAGCGCCACGGGGAGAGTGCCGACATATCTGGTGGCAGATAAACATAGCCCAGGAGTCCCGCATGACACCACCATGTCGGCCTGCCCCATGACGGCTCTCAAAGCCAGTCTTTGGCTGAGAACAGGAGGGCAGGCCGGGCATGACCAGACAAACCCCAGCAGACTCATGACAGAGAGCTGCTCACCTGGAGCCCTCCCTGGAGTCGGGGGCAGGGGCTCCACACAGAGCTCCATGGGTCCCCTGGCAGCATGCGACCTCCAGCTGCCATGCCTGACACCCCGAGAGAGCAGTGAGCTGGCTTCTGTCTCCCTCAGCACTGAACTCACGTCCCAGGAGACCCAGGGACTGCTGGCTGTCCAGCCCCTAGAATGAAGCCCCATTCCCACTCGCTAGCACATACAGTGTGTTCCTGTGTGCATCTTGAAATCCCACACTTTTACAGATCCAAAACTCCTTGGAGGCTCCAAGTGGGACACTTCCTGTTTCTCTGATCTCTCTCAGCAGGACCAGCTGGGAGTGCAACAGTTTGAGGCCTCAGATAAAAGTCACCGGGCCACGTGACTTCCTGAGGCCAACATGAAGGCCTTTACTCACATCAGACATTTGTCTGCTTGTGGTGGCTGGCAGGTTTGGCTACTGTGATGTTGTTGAAGATGAAGTTGGTTCAAAGATCCACAAACACAAAAGAAACAATTAAGAGTACCTAACGTTTCATTTTGCAGACCCCATAACCTTGACACACCAATCCTATCAGCCTGTGAAAGCCAAATGCTCTGCTCCTCATTGAGCATCCGACTGGCTAAGGTTACTGGCAGCGTTACACAAGGCCGTGGTTTTAAGCCTTCCACGCTGCTCAGACAGCTGAAAAGAAGGAAGTAACTTATCAAATTGCTTCCACCATGAAATGTGCTTACAACTGTAAACTCAAGACGTTGGACTCCTTGAGCAATATGAACAAGCCAAAGTCTCCTGTAATCCCCGAAAGAGACTTGGTTCCCGCACGGCGTGCTATCCTCATCGACTGGGCTCTCGTCTGGTGTTTGACTTACATTCCCCTCATGAACCTCTGTGGGTCAGGTCTTGGCGGGGCTGCTGAGAGGTCTTCTAAGTAAGAGGGACGGGCTGTGGTCGAGCTCAGCAAACCTGAACTGGTATGAATGAGTGCATGACAAGCCACCTGCTCTAATCACTTTCCTAATTCTACACAGATGCATTATGCTTTCCCAGTTACCCCTAGAGATTAACTGCAGCAGAAAATCAGA